TGGATGGATGGATGGATGGATGGATGGATGGATGGATGGATGGATGGATGGGTTTTGCAGCATTACACCAAGTTTTTTAGTGACTTCATAAATTTTATAGACTGTAAAAAAGCCTCTAATGTAGTCACATTTTAGAATTTCTTAAAGTACGATAAGTTGTTTAAACTTCTCCACAGTCGTATTTCATTGTAATTTATTGTAAACAATTGATGCCAAGTGTTGCCACAGAGGGGGCACAGCCAGACATTAGGACTAAATAAAAGATTATATCTTCATATATGTTAAGGGTTAGTTTTGTTTTGTCGGTTGATTTAATTTTAGGACATATTCTGTTTTTTGCCCTTATGAACCAAGCTTTCTCTCTATTGTGTTACAGAGAGCTATATCACAAAGGTTGTTATGCACGATGTCCATAATAGTATGGATTATATGCTAAAACCCACAAAATCTAGAGTCAGTATAAGGTGGTCATGGCTGTGCATGGATCTGGATAGAAATGTCAGAAGGTTACTATAGGAGAGCAGGCAGCATTATGAGATGTACATATAGATGAGGCTCCACAGACCACCTGTTGTCCACCTAATATTGGCTCCACTCTATGCTGATGACATCTGAATACACAAACCTGACATTTAGCTTCGTTCTGTGCTCTAAAGGATACTTTAGAAAAAACTGTGACAGCATATAAAACAGCATACAGTAAATTCTATATAAGAAAAGACATAAGGGGTGTGATTCATTTTTTTCTGCTGTATTGTGGTTTGCGTGAGGCTGTGTGTCAGCCTGGTGGCAGCTTCAGAATCATTTATTGCCTAATGATGATGACCTATGCAAACAGTCTCTAAGGTACTGTTGAAGTTTTACAGCTATTCACATTACGTTATTGCTGTCACATCCCCAGTTCTGCTTCCTGTTTGCTAGAAAGCTACTTCTTATTTAAAAGATATAGGACAATAACCCATAGCAGCAAAGTGCCACTGTCTGAGTTCTTTATGGCACTGAGCTGAGCTGTTTCCAAGGTGAACAACATTTAATCATGACACCATCAACAGCATAACTCATAAAGGGCAGCAAATAATGCATGTCAATGTCTTTTTTTTATGTCTGATAATATGAAATATTGCATGGGGAAGTCTCTGGCTATTTGCAAGTCAATAATTCATCTATGTCAGGGTAAACAAGATACTTAAAACACCTCAGCTGTGGTATGTTTTGTCATTCTTGGTTCCCTATAGAGTCTAAATATTTAGCTCTACAAGCAATATAAATAGAAAATTACAAATTCCTTTTTAGACCTTAAATTTACTTAATGAACATACAGATATACTGGTTATTTCCCAAATACCTTTACTGATTTGGTTGTATGTTAAAAAAAATATACAAATATAAATACAATACAAATTAAACTGGCAGTTTTTTAACTTCTGAGTAAAAATGCAAAAGTTACACAACAGTCAAATAAATAAAAATAAATACATATTTTATACAGTACAATACATTAAAAAGAAACAACAACATATATTCTTAAATATAATTGCACAACACTAGCAAGAAAAAAAATGTTTGCCTAATGGCAGATCAAAGTGCTTCATCAACGGTTCCTCTTTGATTGTCATTCACTCAATTAAGTTTAACTTTCTTATAACTGAGCTAAATGATCTCCATCTGTATTGGCACGTTTGTCAACTTTGTGACGAAAGCTTTCAACCTTTCATTTAGCTGCTCATCCCTTTCACTGTTCTGCTCTTGCAGGAACAGAATCTGAACCACTGGCCTATTTGCTGCTACTTTCCTCATAGCAATCTCTGCCTCTTCTCTTGTGTCACAGCACCAGCTTCTAGACACAGCAACAAATGCTGTGTCTTTTAATAGTGTTTAGATTTTAAGGGTGCCTAAAGTCCCTTTTAGGATCACAGACAAGTGATTTCACACCTTCTCCATTTGGGGCATGGTGTTTTTTGTGGTTGGTTTGGCTTGGCACAGTAGATCCTTATAGGCTGGAGAGTGGAGGAAGCGAGGATAGCAGTCTTTAGCCATCAGCATGTAGATCCTGTGCTGGGCCTGGTCGAAACAAGATGGCGAGGGATCTTGCATATTAGCTTTGGTTATGTCTCGGGTTTCATGGTCAATATTTACCTACAAAAGACAAAAGAAGACAGAAATTCAATTACAGATTTTTTACGTTTAACACTTAAGAGATATTCGTTAACTCTGTTTCTTCCTACCTCTCGTGGAGCTTCACTGCTGATAAATTCACTGTAGATCTTTTGGGCTTTGGTGAGTAGCTTAGCAGGACACTTAGTTTTTCTGTAATCTTCACAAGCAAAGTAGAACGCAATGTTCTCCTCGCTAAACTCAGAAACCAGGAAGGCTGTGAAGGCACACAGTCCATCTGCAAAGCGAGGAAATCAGATAAGTAATTATACCTGGACTCACACTGACTGCATGAATAAATGTGTATGTGTGTAATTTATGGGAAACCACACACTGTAGTAGATTGAAAACATGATAAAAAAAATACATTTAAATTAGAACTTACATTTGCTGGAGAGGAGCTTTTCAAAAGATTCTTTCCACTTGAGACATTCTTCCAGGGTGGGTCTGAAGAAGGTGTAAAAAAAGAAAAATGGTTTTGATAAAACTGGTATTTTGTAACCCACATCAAAACATTTATTTCAACACAGTAATGCCATATATGTGCAATGCTTACTTGTTTTTCCCTATTTTCCAAGTAGGCTTTTGCAGAATAATTCCCAGCCTTGCTTTAAGCTCCTTGGCTCTAAAATAGAAAAAAAATAAATAAATAAAGCGACCATAACACCATAATTTCCTTTTCAGAAAAATCTAAATAAAGAAATTACATATGAGCACTGAGTGTAAAACACCTTAAATAAGAAATCTTTTGAGCTTCTCAGATGCCCACATACGCATGCAAAATGTGCTTCCTGTATACATAATCTGAAAAATTGTTTGTTACATAAAAGTAAATGTACCTTTCCAAGCAGGAGGTAGGCAGCGATGCAAGTCCTTTACACATATCGGCAAATATGAAATGCTGCTGGGGTTGTCTCGGTTTGATGGTGCTTAAGTTTCCTTTCAGCAAAACTCAGTCAGGAGATAAATTGACTGTCTGTGCCTAAGCAGAGAGAGGGCAGAGATTTTATAACCCAACAGCCTTACCACCCACATCCTCTGATGTGTCATCAACTTTTTCAGCCAATAGTAGAGAGACTCACTGGCATAGAGAAACAGAGAGGGAGAGGGAAAATAATGAAAGCAGTAAATGAGGGAGAACATGCAAGGACAAGGCTGGGAAATTGCTGTTAAATGATAAAAGCTTCTAGTAGCTGATAGACTGCTTTTTCTCTTTAATTCCTTCCAAAACTACAACAAAATTTTTATTGCCGTTTTCACTTTTCTCTCTTAAACTGACTGTCTGAAATTAATTAATTGATTCTCCAAGACAGACAAATAAATCCCTTCTTTAACTTGTATATTTTAACACACATATTATTAATATTACTAAAAGTGCGTTACAGACATTATCCATATATTGTGTGATACTGTGTACAGACTAAATGAGTTATTTCTATAGTGGTATTAACTAATACAGCATTTCTTTCTTTTTAACTACAGCTTTCATAAATTGTGGGCCTTTTAGAGGATAAAAAGGTATTGGATTTAGTTTTCATTTTTTTAGACTAACCTTAGTCTTCAGTTCCCTGTCATACTTTTGAACATTTCATAAGAGGTAGAATAAACATTTTCCTGAGTCTATGAAAGAGTCAGTGTCTTCAAGCCTTTTACCTCAATGGTTGAAATTATCTGTTCCCAGAAACATCAAATATTAATAAAAAAAATATTTCATGGCATGATCTAATTTAATGGCTTTGATTTTAGTTTATCTGTCTAACAAATATAGTGGAGGTCAAGGTTAATGTCCTCTTTGAAGCAGATCTTATCTGATAAAATTTGTCTCCCAAAAATCTTTTCTACAAAATTTAAACATTAAACTTAAATTTTAAAAGATTCTTAGAAAAGGTTTTACTGCAAAAGGCTCAGTGGATCTGAGAGACTGGCTTTGGTTTTATGTAATTTGTTAGTTTTGTTCATATAGGTGAAAATACAAATTTTTGGAGCTAGAGCATAGCCCCAAAAACAATGCCATTTTGAATTGCTTCAAAATTTTTGATTTGAATGTTTCTTGATAGACAAACATAATCTCATTCTCAGCAGAAACTTTATAACAAACCGAGCTACTGCCATTTTTTTGTTCTGTCATAGATCCTAAAATGGCTCTTTAATCTTGCTCATATGATAAGCCGAGAAAAACAACTTAATGCACGCTAACTTGAAAATGGTATTTCTTTCCCTTTATTATGTTTGGCAGCTGCACATCCATCCCACTTACTCTCTGTAATAAGGTTAAACAGATATTTTTGTAAAATCCTTTCTGCGAATGAACTCCTTTATCACACGCCAGAAAGAGTGTTAAGTGGAATTGTATTTTCTATTAAAGAAATTAGAGTAAAAGCAGCTGTTAAGAGGACAGCCCAGGATGTCAAAAAGGCCACAGGCTTTTCATGTCTAAAAACAGTCAGCTGATGAGCTTCTGAATCTTCTCCAATTTCCTTCCGTGCAGAGTGTGTAATGCTTATTCATTCACTTTGGATTTCATTCTGACTCAGCTTACAGCCTGAAATACAGTAGGATCCATGTTTATTTCTCTTTTTTTTACTGGATGTGTCTGCAATGTATGTTTTAGGATGACACAACGCTTGCTTTATATTAAGTTGTGTAAAATTTAGCTATCCATGCAATCATATTTAATAAATAAGACTAATCATTCTGCCTACTTCCACCCCGTACTTCTACTAACGGGCTATCAGCAATCCAGTGAACAACTACAGTAGACATCAGTGTCTGCTTCCCCTTCTACTTTTAAAAATTATAGGAACCCCTAGTAAACCTGCAGATTGAGAGCAAAGTGCTCTGGTAGGAATATAAAGAACAACCATATCTATGATATAGGATGGAGCTTGGCCATTTAAGACTTTATATGTGTTTTAACATCATGATTGGTTGGGAATGTACAACCAATACAATACAATACAACCAGATTAAAACCACACAAAGTAGATAACTATTATTTTTTGATAAAAATGGATAACGCCCTAATTTTGGTCTTCATTGCCCAACTTGCACAAACACTTCCGCTCTCTGCTTGAGTTTATCACAGAAAAACAGTGCACCTTAAAAGATTGTTCTTTTCTAAAAAAAAATTACACACAAAAACCTTATTTGAGTTTCTTTTTACACACCAATATTGAACAATGACAACAACCTAAGTGAAAAAAAGCAAAACAATTGCAAACATTACACTTTATATCCAGTAGATAGTGACATGTTCATATGAAGCTGCATTCAAATGTGTGGTTTGTTGAACCAATTTGTCCAAACAGTTCAATGCCTCATGAGGCTTCATCTCACAATCACTATGTACAACTAAAGGTCTCTTTAGGTGCTTTACACTTAAATTACCAAAACCATGAATAACACTTTTACAATACTCTGTTAAGTTTTGTGGATGTTGTTGAGGACCCACGCAGAGATGATTTATTGCCAATTTAATTTAGAGATAACAAAAGCATAAATACAGAAATAAAAGTCTGGGAACCAAAACTAGGAGCCAACAGGGAGAAACATACATGTGGAGTGAAGAGGATCCAGCAGGAGCTGCAGAGAGGAGTATATATGAGTGAGAACAATGAATGGGGTTATTAGCTAATTGGGTGCAGGTGTGGACATAAGCAGCAAAGGGGGAAGGAGAGGGGCAGCAAGGAGTAATCAGGGTTTAACTAAAACTAGAAAATAACGTAAATGAAGCAAAATGGAAATTAGACCAATGACTAAAAATCAAAGAACGATCGAGGGGAAGATGATGATTAGTTTACACTAAACAGAACCAAAACTCCCCGAAATGCAGATCATAAGATATTCCTAATGACATTACATATATATATATATATATATATATATATATATATATATATATATATATATATATATATATATATATATATATATACCTAACAAGAGCCACTATTACCACAACATCTAATCCCTAAAAAGATGAAAGTATATAGAAGCATTCACAAAAACTGTCTAAGGTATCAGTCAATAAAAAAATTAAGAAAGAGATTAAAGATAAAGATTGATTTTATCCAAACGTTTGTGATGTAGATTCTCAAACACTTTATGAAAAAAAGGAAAGAAAACTATTACATAAACATTCATTTATTTATTCTGTAAAACTGTGTTACTCAATCCTGTTCCTTCACGCCCACTGACCTGCATCTTTTAGATGTATTGCTTTTTTTTACCTGTCTTCTTTAAACAAACAGCTCATTTACTAGCTTCGGCTGAACTTGAAGACCCACTGAGGAGGTAATTTGATCACTTTAGTCAGGTGTGTTAAAACAGAAAAACAGCTACATGTAGGGCAATGGGTTGACAGGATGTAGGTTTTGAATTAAACAAGGTCAATCCAAGGTCATTTCTGGCAACTTATTACTGACAGGATTAAGAAGCCTCAGAAAATTGATTGACTGACCTTTTAGTACCTCTTCCGCTTATATGGATGATCCTTGTTAAATCTCCAGTATTACATTCCTTTGCTAAATAGTCAGGTCTTCTTCTTAAGCAAAAGCTTAATGTCCCCAAAGGGTTTACTCTTTTGAGCAGTTTTAAATCAGCAGGGGATATATGTGTTTATATATTTTATATTTATGTATTTATTTATTGTTTTAGTCAGGAAACGTTTTACAAAATAAATTATATATCTAAGATACTTTCTTCAAATTAAGTCCTACGAAGGGATGCAATGCAGAGAGAACTACCAGTGACACATATGTATTTATCCAGCACAATGTGCCAAGGACAGCCAGGGCTGATTTGATTGAGTCAGTTAATGCAGTGAAGAAGAGGAAAAAAGGTTTCTGTCCCCGATTTACCCAACCTTTGTGGAGTCGTCATGCTGCTGATCTAGGGGCTGTATATACACCACTTGTTGCCTGAGGTAATGAGGGGTGATGTCAGTCCTTTTCCACCAGTCCTAATAAAAAACTAGAAATTATATTATGGGCGTGAAAAACAAAGGATAATAATATAATAATAATAATGATGATGATTTACTGAGGAATCTTTCATGGGAAGGCTGCACACTGCCTTCTACCTTCACAGAATGCCCTTTCTTTATATGAAATCAGCAACAATAAAAGTATAGAAGTGTTTGAAATATATAGGAAGATTATATTCTAGCATGCATTGATATAAAGTAAGACTGCTGTGAGGATTAATTTGTTGTCTTTCTGGCTTTAGATGTTTTAATTTTAAATAAATTACACCAAAAAAATAAGACATTGTAATGCCTGATAAAACGTTTTGAAAGTGGACTGTGGCCACTGATATATAGAATCCTATCTATGTTTCTAGGATTCCAACCTCCTTGTTAAATATGGAACAGTATAATTATGAATAATTATTTTCTTCAAATTATTATAAATTTGAAGAGAATAATTACTTAAAAAGCAGAGAATGCATTAAAATTGAAATTAAAAGGTGTGCCTGATCTTGCTAGTCTAAGACAATGATTTGACATTCATTTTGTGTCAATGAGTCAAAAGATATACAAATTATCTTATGTTTATCAAGAGTATTTGATTTTGGTATTTACTAACAGCCCCCATAAGAATGTATGTTGGGAGAGGGAGAAAGCACACAGGTGTTCTGGGCAAATGGCTAAAACTGGTATGGCTCAAGACTGTAGGCCTCCTCCATAGTAACGCCCTAAAAACTGACAAAAACAGTCCAAACGCCATAATTATCGTACTAAACATACTTTTCTTGTATATTTAAAATAATTCAAATAAATATTGTAGAAATTAATACCAAACAACTTTACATTTCTTTACATTATATTGTTTGTCTGACATCGTTATCCGACATGCTCAGAGAATTTGATCTGTATATACCATATTGGCCCAAATATAAGACGAGATTGTTTTTCGTTGAAAATAATGTGAAAATGTTTGCGGGCCTTCTAATCACGGTGTAA